TGTCACATGCAGCAGATAGAAGAAAGAAAAAAAAAGAAGACAACAGCAAAATTTCCTCCCACGACATGACAAAGCCTATAGAATCCTGCAATGAGATGGGTAATGGAGGGGTTATGGGGCAGAACAAGAACTCTGGGAATTTATAGCAGAATGGGGAGATGTGCATGGAGGGGGGATTGGGGGCTGGGGGGCAAGTAGCTTGTCTTGCCTAGGGCACAGAATAATCTAGCACCAGCCCTGGCTACCCCTGCACCTCAAGGCCTAAGTGCTCCTTTTGTATAGGGGTAGTCAAATAAAGCAGATTTACTCATCTGATCCTCGATGCCGCCAGGCTGCTAGACCGGTCCACGCAGCCTATTCTCCCCCGGGCCCTGGAGGTCTAAAGACCACTGGCGTCATCACTTCTAATGCAGGTCCAAAGACTTGCATCAGACTTGAGGATGCCGAGTGACATTTCACAGTCCGGGAGGAGGGTAAGAGGCGTTTTCAGCAGAAAACGCACACAAAATGCTGTTATCGTCGCAGCCATTGAAGTCTATGGAGTCAAAAACACCCACAAATGCTGAAATCTGCCTAAAAAAGAAGCTCCGGCACTTTTCGGTGCGACCGTCCTTTTGCTTCAGGTGAGGTGTGAAGGGGCACCATAGAAAACTAAGGAGTTTGGAATATTGGAAGGCTTTCTGCTTCGAGCTTACACAGGTACAAAATGCCTAGGTGTGGACAGGGACACCAAAAACAAGCATGCAGCAAGTGAAGTCGGAGTGACGAAGGATTAAATGAAGAGTCATCCCGCTGTCAAGGCTTCCTCAGTCCTCACTCACACAGGCAATGACATACATGTATTTATAGAACATTGCTGAACGCATATAACTGCATGCAGTGATTGTAGATGGTAGAATTACTATACATTTACAACACAATGAGGGGAACTGATCCAAACTGGAGCAGCTGTGCGCGACAACCAATCAGCTTCTCCCTTTCATTTTCAAATTTTAACTGAACAAACTGAAGAGAGAAGCTGATTGGTTGCCATGGACAACTGCTCCAGATTCTGATCAATTCCCCCTCATAGAAATCTGTGCGTCTGGGAACAAATCAGAAACCCTGAATGTGTCTAAACAAGTGTCAGCGCATGTGCGTGGAATGTAGCCGTAACCCTTTCTCTGCCACAGACGTATGTACTACATCTGCAGCAGCACCATGCTGTTTACATTCCTCCTGCAGGATATTGGCCCCTTGATCACTCCTACACGCTGCCCTCCCCTGCCATGTATCCTGGCCTCACCAGTCCCTCTTGGGTGCCAAGGACCTTCATGGCCAGTGTCAGCAAGAAGAGCGGTGGGACCTCAGCAAACATCCGGAGCATCAGCATGTAGGAGTGCGTGCGAACGTGACAACGTTGTCAATCTTTTAGCGGTGTTTTTGGTTTTGTGATATGGTGCAATAGTTTGTAAAGTTGTGACAAACTTCTTTTTTTTACTATTTTTGATTACAATCGCCTCTGGTCATTAGTAACTCCCTAGCATGGCATTCCTTTGTATACATGTTTTTTTTTGATGTATTCATTACATGGTTACAGACCGCGGTGTGTAATGTTCGGTTATCCGGTATTGAAATATTGTTCAATTACAAATAAAATCGGTTCCTCCGGGGCATTTCAAAACTTTCCTGATCAGGTAATAAAAACATTTTTTTCCTGTCCCTCAGGGCCTGTTCACATGACGTCCGTTTTCTGTGCTGACCGGCTCCGTACGCTCCTGCACTAAAAATGCATCCCAATGTATCCCTATGTGTTTTATGGGCTACAGTTCTCACGTGCGCATGTCACATATTTTCCGGTCAGGAAACGCACGAACGCGACAAAAACGGAACGCAATGCAGCTAAGCAAAAAAAAAAAAGATAGACAGACAGGTTGGGGTAAAGACATGAACTGCGAACATTTGGAACATGCCCATTACCTTTCCATGGACATACGTGGAAAGGAAAAAAATGTATCCGGGTGAGCTCGCAAATCCTCATATAAACTGCAGAAGTGACCGTTGGAGTCCCGGCGCCTCAAGATTGGGTGTACCCAATAACGACGTCTCCTGCGGGCTCGTTCTCTGCAGATTGCTGTAGCCAGCACCATCAACATGTGATACATGTCTGATCACCAGTTTTACATACACAAAGGGAAGTAGATGTTACGAGAGGGCGGAAGTGACCTCAGAGCAAGAATCTGCATACTGACAGCCCCATGGCTAGAAAAAAAACAAAAAAAAAAACTGTCAGCATCTGGACCGAAAACGCATCAAAAACGCACTGCATGAGTAGCACCGCGTCTGCAGATCCGCATCTGATCTGGACCTGAAAATCATGTGAACAGGCCCTTAGGCATAAACAAGCAGTGCCAGGGCAGCCCCACTGCAAGGAAAAAAACATTTCATTTCACTAGATGTATGTAATGTACGCATTTATGAATGATGTTCTATTAGAATGACTCCACCCCGGATTATAGAGGCATACTAAGGTAATCAGTCCGTGTATTGCGTATGCTTGTTCTTAAAGAACAACTCCGGAGCTCTTCTTTCATTATCCATTCTATACAGCACATGTCTTTAGTGATGTCTCTGGCAACATGTACAGAAGGAAATGTGCTAAAGACAAGAGAGAGGCAGGAACATCGCTACTGGAGAAAAGGAAAGACATCGCTTTAGAGCAGTGGTTCTCAACTCGTGGGTCGCGACACCTTCTGCAGTGGGTCGCGGTGTCATTTCTTCATGGAGCGGCCCATCTGCAGTAGAGCGAAATAGAGAGGGGAATTTGTAGTACAGCTTGTGAGAACTCCATAATGTAAAACTGTCCCCTCTCTCCCGGCCTCCCCCGGGCTCTCCGATAAAGTGGTATGGCCCGTGGAGAGAAGGGACTATTTTCATACTTTCGGCCGGCGCATTAATATCGGGCCGCGGCGCCCGACAATTAAGTTATAGTTCCGGCCTGCACTGGAGAGTACAGCAGATATCAATCCGCCGCTGTATCTACTGTACTCTCCAGTGCAAATAGTTCAGTGACAGTCTGACTGGATAAGCTCCAAACCCCCACATACCCCCCACAATACAATTCCATACCCCCAATAATGTTTAAAATGTGCATATATATACGTTGCTGAATAGTGCACAAGTTGTTTTGTGTAATAAATGAAAATGTCTCAGAAATGAATCATTTTTGGGTCACGACTTCGTGACCAAGGAAAAATGTGGGTCCCGAGGTTACACAGGTTGAGAACCACTGCTTTAGAGGCTTACCCAGATAACATCTGTGAGCTATTATAGGAAATACACATCTAGAGGTAACCTGGGGATGCGGCCTGCGATATAACTCTGTTTTATGTCTGCAGATGTGCTAAAGAGAGGCAGGAACATCGCTACTAGAGAAAAGGAAAGAAGACATACCTTTAGTACAGTGGTTCTCAACCTGTGTAACCTCAGGACCCACATTTGTCCTTGGTCATTAAGTTGTGACTCAAGTCCCTCCGCACTGGAACGCAGGGCATTGCGGTACCGTGTGGGCGATCGAACTGTGGGTGGGAGATGCCTTTGGTGTGCCATTCAAATGAATAGCAATGCAACACACCAGAATGTGCGGTAGGTGCGATTGCATGGTAAGGTGCATTAATCACACGGGAATGGGCCCTCAAAAACACTGACACACAACCACTATTTTTGTTCTTTTAAAAAAAATCCACCCAGTCTCCCTATCTTTCCACCCAGTCTCCCTATCTTTCCACCCAGTCTCCCTATCTTTCCACCCAGTCTCCCTATCTTACGAGAACTGCAGTGGATCCTCAGCCTGGGGTCCAGTGTGGGCTGCTGTGCTGTGGCTCCGTCCATATGTGCATTGTTTGTACAAATCCCTTGCGCACCCTGTAGAGGTGGCGGGAGCCAGAATGTGACGTCACTTCGGTCCAGGCACCTCTACAGGACACGTCAGGGAGCTGTAAGCAATGCACATATGGATGGAGCTCCCTCACGGCCATAGCCCCATCCCATCCCACCTCAAGCTGACACTCGGCACCAGGCCGCATATTTTGAATGGCTGCTTGTTGTGAGAACAGACAGTGCTGCGCTAGGGGGAGGCTGAGGAACCTCTCACCTAGAAAAGTGGAAGGCATGCTCTCACCCCATTCCTCTTTTATGGTGGCCATACTGCCCTGTATGTGCTTTGTGTAGAGGTTACATGTACACCCTTTTTCTTTGCTTAAACATGGTGAGATATGTGTATCCCTGTGGTAGGGGACGACTACCTTTTTTTTTCTCTGTCATTTCTTTTTTGTTTATTTTTGTATTCTTATGCTTTTCTATGTTTTTGCTCTCCATATATGGTTCTCTGTATATGTTTGAAACCAAAAAATGGCAATAAATACTATCGGATTTAAAAAAAGAAAAGTGGAAGGCACCCGGGGACCCAGTAAACACGGGCAAAAGCAGAGACACCGGCACTCCAGGGTGAAAAAGCAAACGTCGGCGCCGGTGTCTCTGCTTTTGCTCATATTTGTGACGGCTGCCATCCGTCGACTACCATAGCACCCGCTTCTCGAAAGGGATCTTGCGGTCAGGAGTGCGATGGGACCATGGACTTTCCACTAAACACGGGGTCGTGACGCACTTTTAGGTCACGGCCCACCAGTTGAGAACCAAGGCTTTAGAGGTTTACCCAGATAACACCTGTGAGCAAGTATAGGAAATACACACATCTAGAGGTAACCTGGGGATGTCGTCTTTGATATCACTCTGCTCTAGGTCTGCAGGTGAGGGCATTTAAACAGGTAAGACCCTGGATGATGCCAGTAACTGGTTTGAACTGACAACACAAACTGGATGTACCCCATTCTATTTGCCATTATGTTAAGTAAGCATTTCCTGGCTGATGAGGGTGTTCCTGCAATAAAAATAACCGCACCAAGGTCACATGGTCATTATATATCCCTTTATTATAGCAAAGGGATAAGGGAGGGGGGTTCAGGGGGACCATAATCAGTGCCCAGCTCATGAACTGGTGGACTTTTTACTGTGAATGTCGATGGCTCTCTTTAGGGCCACGTCCGGAACAAGGTCACCTATGCTCACATCGTACTCGCAGCCAATCCTTGGACACCTGCGGAGACAGAAGAGACGCATTACAAACGTAGAAGTGCATCAGACACAGAGAGGAAACGGACTCGGTGACACAGGACGGCAGCTTTAGGTTTCAGTAACTGAAAAGAGGAAAAAGTACCGAGACGAAGAATCGAGATGAAATAGGCGGAACTTGTGACGTAAGTGGGGTGACTGGGTCCTTAAAGCAGATCTCCAGAACTTTAACAAGTTACCCCATGCAGTAGGGCTACCCCCGCACTGCAAGGGTTAACTGCTCATTTTGGCCTATGGGATGGAATAAAGAAGATACACTCCTTGATCCTGTGACGGTGACCGCTCACCTCACTCCCCCTTGGCGTCCTTACAAGTGAATAGACCTTGCATAGACGTGATGATGCTGGCGAGAAGATGCTGCGGGGACCGCTCTAGCAGCCAGGAGGGATTGAGGATCAGATGAGTATATTTTCAGTACTTGGACCCTTAGACCAAGACTAGCACTGCAAGGGTTAATGTTTAAAAACCCTGGAGTTCCGCTTTAAAGTTTTAGCAATTTATCAAGACTGTGTATGGCCAGCTTCGGAATAAAGGGGAAATCTTTCACTGGGGACACTTGATCTGGTGGCATCTGTCTAAAAGAGGATTCCGCTCCCTGGTGAGATCTGGTCTCACTTCCTGGGCCTGTGTGTCTGCATGACAGGAAGTGAAGGGAAATCTCTCAAATGGGACATGGAAAAAAAAACCCCCTAAAAAGGAGTTTTAACCCTTTTTTACTCTATCCAAAATAATAAATGTCTCTGATACAATCCTTCTCCACAACAAGCTGTGTGGGCCGACGCTGTGTAAGATGCAAGTCATTGGAGGGCAGAGCAAGCACCGCGGTCAGAAAAAAGGGAAATACCTTTAAAAGTTCACTTCCACAAGGAACTGTTACTTCTGGAATGAATCAGAACAACATGTGTTTTGGGAACTCACCTTATAAAGGAACGCCAGAATAGACAGTAAGAGTCCAAACTGCGTTAACGGTCTGCACGTAAATTGTCCCCCCACCCCCCCTTCATCAAGGCAAGTGTTAGCACCAGTAACATGTTACCAACACTGGAACATCTTGTAACTCAGCCTCCGGATCCATTTATATTTAACCGACACAGAGCAATATAGTAAAGTCTGCTCATGAGTCCACTTGGAAGTTCTGATTTGATTTTAAAGCGGACCTTTCCCCATATTTTTTAAATAACAACAAACGCACCTTTCAGTGGTGACAATCTACAGACACATACTTCTAGATAATTGCCGGCTTTGTATTCTCTGCACATCTTATTTCTCTTTTCTTCCCCAGTCTTCTGAAAGTGGCCATTTTTTTTACTAAGGGCAGATAAATCCATCTCCCTTTACTCCCTGGGACTCTGGCACATGTGACTAGGACATGTGACCATGCACATCATATCAGGGGAGGAAATTGCTTTTCCCTGAGATCTCATGAGATTACAGATGAGATTTCCCAGCAATCCTCTGCTGATGTAAACTTCCCAGGATTCACTGCTTGGGCACAGATTACTAATGCCCAAGAGGACCAGGAAGTTGAAAAACAAGAATTGTAAGTAAGATAAAAATATGTTTGTTTAGCTAATGAATGTAAAATGATTTCATATCAGCATGCAGAGCTGCACGCTGAGGGGATTTTTAGTGAAAGGGGGTAAAGGGCCATTTTAAGCCCTGATGAAGGGGCTGAATGGTTTGGCCCCCAAACGCATTGGCCACTTCATGTGTGACCCAGTAAAGCGATTTGGACTCTTTACCATTTGGTCTGGTTCTCCGTTAGTTTGTTATGCTTTGAGTCCCTTTCTGGGTACCCATTGGAGGGTAACCTTGTTTCAAATAAGTGTTACAGTCCCGGCACTTCTTGGATGTGTCCTCTTAGGAACTCACCTGGCAGATTTCCCCTTCTTTTGTCTGTCTTGAATCATTTTTTCAATCGCCGCCTTCTCATAACTGTGACCACATGTTTTATTTTTCACCGGGTTCACCATCTCCACCTGCCAGGACAAGACCACAGCGCTAAAGTTAAAACCTGCAGCAGCAACCATGGGCAATTTCTATGTAGCTGGGATTCAAAAACAAAACAAGTCAAATCAAAGAGGTGACATCATCCCACAAACACTGCAAACAGCGCTAAAGTCAGAAAGAGTTATGCCGATAATAAGAAGTCAGTGCTGCGGCAGGCCCAGGGGAGGAAGAAGTAGAAATCGGGCCCGGTCTATTTCTGGACAGGGACTGCAGCTAAAGCAGAACTGGCCAGGTTTGGGCGGAGAACCTCTTTACCACTTGAAGCCCGAGGTGTTACACCCCTTTCCTGTCTAGGACATATTTCTGTATTCAGCGATGAACGCAGTACTGAAATGAATTGTATATCATATTTTGCGGACACGGCTTTCTTTTGGTGGTTTTATTTTTTACTACATAAAGAAAAAAGTACTAAAAATGTTGAAAAATAAAAACATTGTTCCCTCCGTTATGTTATTACACTTTTATTATTACCCAATTTTTTGGTAATATATATAAGACCCGGTTCGGGGTTATGCGTAACATGTGTCTTAGGGGATAACAAGCCCCCTATGTGATAGCACAGATACAGTGACAGGTCTATTAGACGCCTAATGTCACCTACAGACCCCCAAAAAAGCTGATTAAGCAGAGATCTGCCATGACATGGCTGACAACGGAAATTAGGTAATACACATCAGTGATCAGAGGAGAGATCAGCTGCAAGAGAACTGCTGTGCCAGTCCTGCAATGGCATGGGGGACAGAGGAGCTTGGGATAACTGGCAATGGGGGGGGCTGCACACATTCCACACACCATACAAAACACAAAAAATAGTAACAGCTGTCACCAGCTGTTGACCATTGTGAATGTGACCGCTGTGATTGTGACCGCTGCAACTGTTAGTAACAAATTAGAGCCAATTGTACTTATGAGAATGAGTGGCATCATCACTGGGTGTCTGTGCTTCTCTATGCAATGCAGGCAAATAATTTATTTATTATAGATATTTATATAGCACTGACAATTTACGCAGTGCTGTACACAGTGCACATTCACATCAGTCCCTACCCCCCAGGAGCTCACAATCTAAGGTCCCTATCTCACATGCATACATGCATACAAGGGCCAATTTAGAGAGGAGCCAATTTACCTTCCAGCATGTGTTTGGAGTGTGGGAGGAAATCGGAGTACCCGGAGGAAACCCACACAAGCACAGGGAGAACATGCAGACTCCTCGCAGATAGTGTCCTGACAGAGATTTAAACCAGAAACCCTCAGAGCTGCAAGGCAGAAGCACTAACCTTGATCGTGGATGATCATGGCTGGTGGGAGGGGCTGGCAGGGGACCGAGGAAGGCAGGGAGGGGCCAGCAGAATACATGGCTTCCTTAAAACATCACAGCGCCCTGCCTCAGTACACCTCTTAAGAGCCCTCAGCCCTGATGCAAGCAGTGGGCTGGCTCATGGGAGGCATTATGCAAACATCTTGCTGGGTAGGTGTCAGTCTGGGGGAGTGGGTGTTCCTAGGCAGGCTGAAGTTGCATGCAGACCCCCCACATGTGATACTGAGCCTCCAATAACTGAAATCCAATCAATGAAAAAGGAAGGCCAATAAAAGTCAGGCTAGGGAGGAAAGCACTAGATGATGCCAGGAAAGGAGGTAGAGTTGCCACCTTGTCTTCAAGCGAAACCCGAACATTCTAACGACACTTTTTTGGGGAGAATGAGTTTATTATTTATATGTAAATAGTGCCACCCATTCATATGTAAATATCACAGTTGAGACTATTTTTAGTGGGGGGTCAGTAGCCCCTATCTTAATTTTGGTTGCCCCCGTCTGCCTGACATCTTGTGTCCGGGTTTCTGCTGCCATGAAACCCGGGCACAGCATTCAAAACCCAAACTGTCCGGGTGAATCCTGGACAGGTGGCAACCCTAAAAGGAGGCGGGCTCTATCCGACTTGCTGCAGATTCTAATGCACATTGTGAGGACCTCGCAGTGTGCAGTGAACTCAGAGGAAGCGATTTCAGTCCAGGAGAGGAACCGGTATCACTGTGCGAGACTGAAGGGGAGGCCGGAGCTCATATCCTAATATCTGAAATTCTTCTGCAGGTCTGTTGGTGTCATGCAGATCAGGATTGCTGCTGTTCGGAGTCTGTGTCGGGTTATGTCATACAGTCACTGCAGCTGCAAGCAGTACTGAGCAGAGCTCTCCTTCAGTGACATCATTAACATGCGCCAGGGGTGGGCAACTCCGGCCCTCCAGCTGTTGTGGAAATACAACTCCCATGAGGCATTGCAAGACACTTACCCCCCCTCAACTCCGGCCCTCCAACTGCAGTCAGCCTGCATGCAGAGTCACATTCCGGGCTGCTGGAGAGACACAGAAACCCTATAGAGCAGGGGTGGGCAACTCCGGCCCTCCAGATGTGCTTTAACTACAAATCCCAACATGCCTCTGCCACTGGGAGTCCTGGCTGTAACGGTCAGTCTTGCAATGCATCATGAGACTTGAAGTTCACAACAGCTGGAGGGCCAGAGTTGCCCACCCCTGATCTAGGCTGAGATGATGTCATCAGTCTGCTGCAGGAAGGAGAAAGGATTTCCTCAGCCTCCTCTTCCCCAGTTATGAGACTACTGCAGGCAGGAGGAAGCATTTCCTCAGTCTCCTCTCCCCAGTGATCAGACTGCTGCAGGCAGGAGGAAGCATTTCCTCAGTCTCCTCTCCCCCAGTGATCAAACTACTGCAAGCAGGAGGAAGCATTTCCTCAGCCTCCTCTCCCCCAGTTATGAGACTACTGCAAGCAGGAGGAAGCATTTCCTCAGTCTCCTCTCGCCAGTGATCAGACTACTGCAAGCAGGAGGAAGCATTTCCTCAGTCTCCTCTCCCCCAGTGATATGCAACATTCTAACTTTGTAGCAAGTCACAAGGCGAGGAATGAACAAACTGGCTTCTCAATTCCATATGATTTTGGCCACCCCTGCAATAGAGGATATGTGGGGGATGGTGCTGTGTCCTGTACTGTACCCCAAGAGATTTTACTGGTCATTCAAAAATCCTATTTTTGTGATCGTACTGTACAGGAGACAGGGGATTCATAGACGACTGGGAAGTCCACAAGTGATGACCGAGGGGAGGGGGGGGGAAGGGGCAACACATCAAGACAACTGTTAACAGGCCCATATAACAGAGACAGGGGGAACCACCAACTAGGGTATCAGCCTGTGACACCTCACAGCCCAAAACTGGCATCTTGCAGAACATGTGAAGAGAAGACCAGGCGACCATATACCTAAGGACACTTAACGAAAAACGGAGGATCTCCTGGAGTGGGAGGGGTTATATGGAGGTCCTCACAGCTCTGACCAGTGTCCAATCACCTGCCGATACCACCATATTACCCATCGTCTATGAATCTGCCCGTACTGCAAGATCAAGAAAACATATTGACAACAGCAGAACATACCTGTGTGATGGGGCAAATGCAGTTATCGATGCTCTGGGTGACGGCTATCTCTTCGTCATCGTCCAAATTAACCTCTGGTTCCTCTGATGGCACGCCCACTAGAAGACAACGGAGAACATGAATAACATGAGGACTGCTAGAGATGATTTGCAGAGCTGCAATATAATGAGAAATACTGAGCTGCAGTTAGTGTACACAACATGAAGTCCATGAACCCATCACACTTCTGACTGCCAAGTCCTGAAGTAACAGATGGGTGCTGCGATGTGTCCAACGGACGGCGCCGCCATATACACAAAGCATAAATGGGGCACAGACACTCCAACTGGTGAATAGCGCATCTTTTATAAGAACGTGCTATTCACCATTTATACTTTGAGTATACACAACATGACATTCAACCTAAACACATTACATAAACATAATAACTTAGAATCTATAGATAAAACTCAACTCTTAGCAGAGTATCAAATGCACAAATAAAACACATAGAAGGGAGATGTTTTAGCGGTCAAAGAATTAGTATTCCTGTGTAATGAGAAGAACTTCTGGGACCTGTTCCCGGAGGCTCAGAAGTGCTTCTCACTGGTCATCGAGGTCATGTGACCTTGCTTCATCACCACCTGATGAAGGATCTTGTGTGGTCCCGAAACATCGCGTTTTCCGTTTGTGATATATTGAATGCAAGACGTCAATAAAGATGCTATAAACTTGATGAACACAATATCAGAAATGTCCCCAGCACACCGAGTTCCTTCAAGGAGAATCAATCGTTGGTTTATTGAAAACTCATGTCAAACACACCATCGCTTTCGGGGGCCGCACAGGGTCCCTTCATCGGGCATAGCCTGATTAAGACGGTGTGCTGGTGACTTCCTCTTCTGGTGGCGCCAGGTCAGGTGTGCGATGGGCTACCTAGAGTAATCTGTGCTGACAAATGCGTGCTCACCATTTGCAAGCATTATGAGCATTCCATAGTGCGGGGCTAGGAAGTCCAGTGTACAGACCCGCAGGCAGGGACTTCAGACATGTAAGTGCACCATAGGTCGGTGGAGGGGTGCTGTGGGTACGATTTGTGAAAAAGTGAACTTAACCTTTAAAGTTGTTCTTCCCCAACACCCTGTTGTCCCTCTGTCACCAAGACAGGATGAGAATGAGGAAATTCTGCAGTGGGTCACACCAATAAAAACCCCTGGTGATCAGGAGGATGGGATCTCTTCCAACCTGTTCTCTAAACCAGTGGTAGCTGTAAGCAATGCACAAATGAATGGAGTTTCCCTCGTGGCCATAGCCCTATCTCATCCCACCTCAAGCTGACACTTGGCGCCGGGCAGAATATTTTGAATGGCTGCTTGGCGAGAGATCTGACAGTGCTGCGCTAGGTTGAGGCAGAGGAATCTCACACCTAGGAAAGTGGAAGGCACACGGGGACCCACTGAACACAGTAATAGCAAAAAGTTTCCCAGCACACTCGCCAGCCAGCATGCAAAAAAACTTGTCTCACCGCTAAGGTTAAAAACAGAGGTTTAGATACACGTCTTCTGCAGAAAATGTGAAAGCCGCAGAGCCGCGCCAAGGCACCACAATATAGTGCGGTCCTAACTCTAAACTATGAGAGTCTCCATCTTGGAGCACATGGGGCAAAAGATCAAAGCTGGTAACAAATTGATGAGTGCGTTTGCCATTTGTTTTGCTCCACTGAACACAGGGTTGCGACCCACTTTTGAGTCACGACCCACCAGTTGAGAACCAAGGCTTTAAACCTACAGACATCATACTTTTTTTTTTCCAGCGCACATCGTAACGCTCATGTCTCTAGAGAGGTATCTATCTCCACAGGTCCTGGAACAAGCACTAACAAGGACCAACACGAGGGTGAACTGTAAGAGCCCCGTAATGTACAGACTGGTAGAGTTCTTTTTGTGGGGACACATAACCTTTATCTGACTGGACTAACAAATTCAAGAGTGGAAATGGAAACGTCCTTTGTGGTAAGAGGGACCTGTGTTTTAGGCCTTGTTCACACCAAATGCAGACCAGATCCGGTCAGGTTTCTGCACACGCACGATGCGTTTTTGATGCGTTCCAGAGCAGATCCAGAGCAGATAAAATAGGGCTTGCCGCAGTTTTTTCACCTGGTCTGGATCCGCACGCTGCGATGTGAACTGGAGGTCAAAATACCATAGGAATACATTGGACGCAGTTTTGATCCGGTCTGCACCTGCTCTGGTCTGGATCTGCTCCGCGCTTGGTGTGAACAAGGCCTTAGAGGTCAAAGATTCCCGCAATCCATACCTACAGGAGGAGTAAAAACCTCAGGGATTTGTTGATATGAGCGGACACAATGGGTAAGTATTAAAATTCTCTTTCTCTTCTCTAGCAGAAGCGGCTGACCCTAGAATTACTATCTGAACATTAAACAGCCATATAACACATGTACCTTGATAAACACAGAGCACCAGGGATGACAGCTGTCCATGTTCCGGTGGCCCAGCGATTAGCAATGGAAACTACCAGCCATAAAGTGTTCATAGAGTAATTCTCGGGTGAACTTCCACTTTAATTTCCTCAATGTTTGCAGGGCCCTTATCGGCAGTTCCACATTTTCTCATTCACACGGGTCATATCATATTCAAGATCAATATAATTGTAGCGGAAATGACTGCGTCTGGTTACTGAAACGCCCGTGTTTGCTGGTGTACATCAGTAAAATGACAGGTTTATTCAAATGTAGATTTCAGAAGGACAGACGTGACCTTCGTGTGGCCCCTGAGTGCCACCGTCTGCAGAAGCCAACTAACTGAGATTAGCAGGTGGCTATACATTTTGTTGAATTTAAACATTAGATCCATGAACTCTGAGAAATGATTATTAAACATCTTCCAAATCAAATCGTGGAGGTGACAGAAACCGTGTTTTACAGAGGAAGTCTTTCTTGATCCACACTCTGCAGACGCTGACATCCAGGAGCTTTAATATGAATCTGTCTTCCCTTAAAGGAGAAGTGTTGGGAGAGTAAAATATACTTTTCCCAACACTTATACCTTGTTCACACCTGAACATTTTGTAGCGCGTTCTACGCTCGACAAACGCTCTACAAAACGCTCAAACATCTAAATCCCATGGTTTCCTATGGGTATGGTTCACACCTTGCCGTATTTCAGCCCGTCCCTAACGCGCTACAAAACGGCCCACGCCTGAAAAAGGTACATGTACTACTTTGCGCGTTTCCATTGGGATACAGCCAAGTAGCCCTCGCGAATCGCGGTAAAAAAACGCGCGACAGACGCGCATAAGCAATACGCCTAGGTGTGAACCAGGCCTTAAGATGGCTATACATCGTTCTATTTCTTTTCGTTGAACCTGCGGGCTGAACGAAAAAAAAATAGAACAGGTTCCTCCGTTGCTGCTGACGTGCGGTGATTGAGGAATCTCCTGCTGTTTCTTTTGTATTCGGACAGCGGCCGCCAGCAGAACACCTGAGCAGAGCCGGCAGCACAAACACTTACACGCGTACAGCAAACAATATGGTTTATATGCAGGACTGTTGATGTAGATTTTTACATTTTTCTTATGGATCTCTAGGCAGTACAAGTTTATTGATCTTTATGTAGCTGGCTGTCGGATCTGTTAAGTCACAGATTTTCCGACCGGGTCCTGCGATCAGGTTATTTAGACAAGCCGGCCGAAAGCGTGCAGACAGCACGCTTTCGGCCGTGCTGTCTGTCCGGTTTCGGGAACCGGACAGAATTCGCATAATGTATGGCCAAGCTTTAGAGCCGGTGTGTGCAAATGGCTCTGTGCTTTCAGCAGATAGGGGCCATAGCCTGCTATATGCTGACTTTGGGTCACAAGAGTACATTAGTAAATGTATTCCTGTGACCAAAAACAGAAGTAAAACCACAAAAAAAAGTTTGGCTTTGCTTCTCTTTTAGCACTAATCTTCTGCGCCAATAGTCTCATCTCAGCTACGTTTAGCTAGTTTATTCACATTCTCTGCAAATTAGTTAAACTTATTATTGTTTTTATTATAGCTGATGCAGCACTGATTACGTTTGTGCTACCTTTCCTATGTGTACAATGCAAATGTACCCTATTGTTAGGATACTAGGTGGCATTTGCCAACAAGTGTCCCTTGGTTGCTAGGACGCAGATGGCTTTTGACACTTAGCATCTTTTGGTTGCTAGGACTAAAGTGGCTTCTGCCACCTAGCACCCTTTGGTTGCTAGGCATGCAGACGGCTTTTGCCACCCAGCGTCCTTGGCAGCTAGGATGCAGACGGCTTTTGCCACCCAGCGTCCTTGGCAGCTAGGATGCAGACGGCTTTTGCCACCCAGCGTCCTTGGCAGCTAGGATGCAGACTGTTATTGCCACCCAACGTCCTTGGCAGCTAGGATGCAGACTGCTATTGCCACCCAGCATCCTTGGCAGCTAGGATGCAGACTGCTATTGCCACCCAGCATCCTTGGCAGCTAGGATGCAGACTGCTATTGCCACCCAGCGTGCTTTGGTTGCTAGGATGCAGACTGCTATTGCCACCCAGCGTGCTTTGGTTACTAGGATGCAGACTGCTATTGCCACCCAGCGTGCTTTGGTTACTAGGATGCAGACTGCTATTGCCACCCAGTATTCTTTGGTTGCTAGGATGCAAACTGCTATTGCAACCCAGTATTCTTTGGTTGCTAGGATGCAAACTGCTATTGCCACCCAGCGTCCTTTGGTTGCTAGGATGCAGACGGATCCAATAGAGTCCATATGTGCTGTACACAAGTAAACGTTAACACAAACACTTACATGCCTACAGCATACAATATGGTTCATATGCAGGACTGTTGATGTAGATGTTTCCATTTTTCTTATGGATCTGAAGGCGGCGCAAGTTTATTGATCTTTATGTAGCTGTGTGCATGGGCCATAGAAAACAACACACCGGCATTCAGATACTTAAATAAAAACAAGCTCTCTGCACTGATAAAAGAGGAAAGTTATTTTAAAGCTGCGTATATAGCCTTAAGTATATTGTTTTGCCCCCATCTCTAAATCTCAGGTGGACCTAATCATGGTCATGGGTTATTTCAGATTGCATCTCAGCACTGC